TGTGTGTGTGTGTGTGTGTGTGTGTGTGTGTGTGTGTCAGAGACGGAGGTAGAAGACAGCATGTGGTTACTTTCCTTGTTACCTTGTAGTCACCCTGAGGAGTTAACATCCTGTACATAGATGACACTCTTAATTAGTAGCTAGAACAGTGTGTGCGTGCGAGCGTGCATTGCTCATGTTGCGAGGACATAAATGTGTTTTTTTTTAATACAGTCACATAGTGGGGGACACGCAACCCTGACCTCACCCACCGTTTGGGGACAGGTCAACATGTAAAGCAATACATTTAGGAGTGAATGCTTGGCATTGGAAATTCATTTAAGTTGGTGTGATGTCTCAAAGGTGGAAACATGACGGTGTGAATGTCACAGGACAGCCATGTTTCCTTAAAAGAATTGCAAACCTGCTCATCTTTATGTACTCCATAATGGGTTTGTTTGTTTGTTTGTTTGTTTGTTTGTTTTTTGAAAAAGAAAAAGCGAGAAAAAGAGAAAAGAAAAATCAATATCAGTGCTACAAATCTAGTTGGACTACAGTACCACATATATGTATATGTGGTCATAATAATTTTGCTATTTTTTAGGTTTTGTTTTTTTTAAATTGGTGTCTTAAGACAAGCATAAAGAGATTTTTTTAAATTAAAAAACAGGGAAGGCTCCTAACCACTTTGCTTTGAGCTCTGTTCTTTCCAGTGTAGCTGTTATTGCTGCTGTCATTTGAAGGGATGTAGTACAGAGCAACAAAGAGGGAAGTAAGAGTCACAATTTTTTATTTATTTTTAGCCATCCTTCCCACTTTCTAATAATAACACTGGTGTAATGTCCATTTGGTAAGCTGAGACATCACTGGACTAGATAGTTGGGTATTCTGCAAGTCTACATGTGTGTGCGGGCGTGTGTGTTTCTATAACATACATACATTTTACATCTGTATGTGGTGCTTTCCAAGCTCAGACTTCTGTGAGCCTGACATTTCCATGCGCTACTCTTCCCTTTATATCTGTGATGATAAAAGCGGTGTTTCCCAGGAGATGCCGTGCAGCTGAAACACCTCAATTCAGTCATGTGATGTAAGCCAGGAAAATGGGGAAACTCAAAATGGGAAAATTTGCCTATTACCAACTTATGTCTGTGGAAATGTTTGTGTTATTTTTGGCAAATGGAAAAGTTCAAGCTTGACTTTTAACGCCTCTATCCCTCTTCTCTCACAGGGTGAAAGATTATTCATCAGACTGGTCAGATGATGAAAGTCCAAAGAAGGTGGCGGTAAATGGCGTCGGGGAGGAGGAAGAAGAGCAGGTAGAGGGAGTGCGAGTCAAAGCACTCTATGATTACACGGGCCAGGAAGCCGATGAGCTCAGCTTTAAAGCAGGTATTAACCCCTACTAATGCTTTTTAGTTGGAAGGCATCACAGAGAAGAGTGCTGGTATTTCCATTTTTTATTTAATTAAAAGTTTAGTTTTTCTGCCTGTGATGCCTCATCTTAAGAACTACATACATACTCCTGTCAAACTCGTGTTTGACACTGATCCTCAAATGCAGTAAGAGTGTAATACAGAGTGGTGCATAAACACACACACATTACATCTTACTTTTTTGGAACTGATAAAACTAATGCATGAACAACTCCATCTAAGTTTCCACAGAAAGAAGTATACATGCATAGGAAAGTTTACTTCTCTGAGCATAAGAGGGTAGATTTGTGCTACTCTCTTCCATGTTTCTGTGGCTTCAGTTGGATCGTCATTACAAAAGTTGTATGTACAAAGCTTGCTGAAAGCACTCACATATCTCTGGATACTGGAAATGAAAACATTCAGGCTTTTGTTTGTTTGGTTTTTTTTTAAATTAGACTTAATGAACCCCACAGGAATGCTTTTATTTTGTAGAACAATTAACTTTTCCAGCTTTCACATGAAAATAAAACGCTCAGCTTTTTGCCTACATGCATCTAAATATTAACAGTGCATTACTGTAGCTTTTCAGTGACTAATCTGGTTGTAATTGTAAGGTCTGGTAAGCTGAGTAAAGCCAAATGCCCAAAAAAGAAACGACTAATGTAAATGAAGAGGAAATAAAATAATGAATATCAAAATATTGAGTTGATAGTTAATGGATGTGTGCTTCTGTTTGTTTGATTTGTTTTAAGTTAATTGATTTGAAAGGAATACTTCAGGGTCAGTGACGCAGGAAGTGGTCGAAAAATATCACCAGACCAGTTGGCAAGTAAAAGGTGCTTGTTGTTGCTAGATGAAACTAGCTGTAAAAAGGCATACAGTGCTACAGCAAAAATCTCCTTGTCATTTCTTTGGCCGGTAGCAGGTTGCTGCTGTCATTAGTCATTTGTATGGGAGACGCCAACCACTCTTCCCAGCAGCTATGAAACTGAAGAGTGTGCTGCTAACTGGGAATGAAGAACATTCACCTTCAAAGTAAAGCTTCTGCCTTTTCAAACATGTAGTTTCAGCAGTAAAGCCCAACCTTTACTTTGAAGGGAAATGTTTTCTGCCAACCTGCCTACTCGTTGGCAAATACATTTTTCCTTAGTGACCAGAAGTTGTCGGAGGGGTTGCAACTGCTCTCTAGGTCAATTTGACTGAGGCTACCTGTGTGTACCGTGTATCCTCAGGGGTTGAACATTAATTATTTTTATATTTAAAGCAACTCCACAGAAAATGTTTGAGGGAAAGCCTCACAGCAGGGGTGTAACAAATCTTGCTGCGTCCCTCCTCCTCTTTACACTCCTCGCAGTCAAGAGGAAAGAAGCTGCTGTATACCAGACAAATGGTACTCCGTTTAGTATAGAGGATAAATAATGGACATAATCAAAAGAAAGAAGGGGACGGACAAAAAGACCCCCAAAATTAATATGTAGGTATATAATATATCTCCATAATCTGAACATGAATTCACTGGAAAATTCCTAAACTTAAAAGAAAATCGTGTACTGCAAGTTGACATTGAATAAGAAACATAAGAAATTTACAAATCTGTAAAGCACATCTGCAAATATTTGGAGGACAAACACAAAAAGTTTCTTTTCTTTCTTTTTTTTCTTCTTTTTTTTTTTTTTTTTGGTCTTTTCCAGTGGCAAAAACCCCCCACATTCTGCTGCAGGTGCAGAAATGAGAAAAATTGAGATGAAGCTTAACGTGTTGTTAAACATAACAGAGGTTTAAAGCTGCTGTGGTGTATAGTAACTCTCACCAAGCTAACGGGACTTGATGGGACCACTGAGCTTAACCCAGCTCAGCTCAGCTGTGTAGGGAGGTTTTTATTTCCATGAAAGATTCGTCCCTGACTTTTGGGGGAGTCAGAGCCAGCCTGTTTATATTGCACAAGCAAACTTCCAAGAGCTTTTTACTGAACACATTACAACATAAAGTGAAAAAATACACAAAACCTTTAAATTCCATTAGAAGACACAATTACAGAAAACTGATGTGCTGGGGAAAGATCCTGCGTTACTGCACTTCTGTAAGTCCTGTACTGTAGATCAGAATCACAGCTGTGGAAACGGGAGATTTTACCTTCCTGTTTTTAACTTGTTTTAAACAGGAGGCCAAAGTCCTGCGTTTTGCTTGTATTTTGCAGGCGTATCCAGTCAGTATCCAATTATTCATTTAAATGAACGTGACTCTCATCCTTCCAGGGGAGGAGCTACTGAAGCTGGGAGAAGAGGACGAGCAGGGTTGGTGTAAAGGACAGCTGAGCAATGGCCAGATTGGCCTCTACCCTGCCAACTACGTGCACGTCATTGCGTCCTGATGGCCCCCCTCTATGGCCACCCAATAGCAACGCTGCAATCAAGATACCAGGACTAATTAAAAGGTGTTAGTGCTGAACAGTAGACCCGCCTTTTTTGAAAACAGCCTGGGTTGTTTTGTGTTTTTTTTGTTGCTGACTGTAAAAAAAAAAAAGAAAAAAAAGAAAAGAAAATGTAAGCATGTTTTTGTAAATTCAACCAGTGCAAAGATTTCCTTATTCGTGATGGATTGTTCAATCAACAAGACGTCAGCGGCACAGTCGATTGGTAGAAGCTTTAGCTTCAAGCAGAGAAGCATCGAGAGGCTTGCCAAACAAACTGTAAACATGCATGTTTGTTCTGTCATATCTTTGTTTTCTAAGAGGATGTTTTATTGGACAACACACGTTTAGTCCAAAAAGAATAAGAATGGGTGGAGATGAGGTGAGCAGCAGCCATTACAGCTGGCTCACTCACAAGATTTCAGTGTAGGTTTTGAGTTTTCTTGGATCCAGCATCCAGGGGCCATCACCAGGAACTCCACAGCTTTCTCTGCTCAGCTGTGGTGACTGCTGCTGTTTCAAATGACAAAACCCAGTTAAACACTGACTGTGCCTTAGTCGATAAGGTCTGAAATATACAGCGCCACCCTACTGTCTGACTGAATTGCACCCTGGATATGTGCAGCACCGCGCTACTCTGATCGAGGAATTACAGCCTGCAACTGCGCAATGCTGCCCGGCTTTCTGAGTGAGAGATTACAGCTGTCTGCTGTATAATGGGCTCATGGCCTCCTTCTAAACATGGAAAAAACCTTTAAAACTTCGGGTACATTACAGTAAATTTAATTATGCAGGCAGCACTTGATTGGCTTTCATTTAGCTTGATATTTGTGGGCTTTGGTTACTTTTTAGACACTTTTTTTTATGTGACAGCTGTTTTTTTTTCTTGTTTTTTTTGTTTTTGTTTTTCCATATTAAGTCACGCGAGTTTGCAGCTAAACAGTTGCTCCCCCCCCTCTAATCATTAGACAGATCAAAGCAGTAACGTCGACTGTTACCTCTGGGTCTTTTTAATCTATACATGTTTTTCTGTTGCTAGTCTGATTCGCTATGCTGGGATCACAATGCAAAATCATCTCAGACACATAAAAACAAAAAAGTAATAAGTTAAATTTTTTTTTCTTTTATTATGTCAGGTTTGGGGTTTTTTCATGTTTAAATTTGTGTCTTACATACAAGGAAGTCTCTTCTTTCCCTGTTAATCTTATCCCTGCTACAGCTAACCCACATAGATGCTAAAATAGAAGATATTAGATCTACTACATTGGTCTGTGGATTCTTTCTTTTTCTTTCCATAATTGTAACATATACATATACAGTACTTACAGGGAGAAGCAACAATAAAAAGCTTTCTACAGCTGAATGTTTCACAGAACATCTTTTGTGCTCATCAAAAGGGTAAATGCTCATATTATAGCTTAAAGCTCCCAAATATCAGAACTCCAGTATCTCAGAGTATTGCATTTCCATTTTGAGTATCTTATCACCGGCACAAGGAGGGTAAGCCACAGAAGGTCATTGCTGAGAAGGCTGGCTGTTTGGAGTGCTGTGTCAAATCATGTTAATGGGAAACTGAGTGGAAGGGAACAATGTAGGAAAAGAAAACTGGGATGAAACGCCAGTTTTGAGGAGATTTCCCATTTTCACAAGTTGGTTCTTCAGCAGCACGTACTGCTGAACCTCTTGTTGCTTTGGCTGGAAACATGCAAATACAATTCAGCACAGGGAAGCATCAGCTTGTGTCTTCATACATCTTATACAATGAAACTAGAACACAAACTGCTGTCCCTGTTGTCATGACAACACTAAGCTTTGCATGTAAAATCCTGCAAACCGGTCTGAGTGTATGACTTTAAAAAAAAAATACTCTTTTGATCCTAAACTTCTGCTTTACCCTCTACGGCCACTGGAGCATTATGTGGTTCCCTCCATGGATGATGTTTTCATTGTTTAATGCAGTCACCTGGAGCCCCAGACAAACCTTCCAGAGCAGAGTTATCAGGAATAATCACCAGTAATTAGGAAAAAAAAAAAATCTAATTCTACGCTTTATGAAATACACTTTATTCACCAGTCTCTAAACATCAAAGCAACCTTAAAATTACAGGCATTCAAAATCTACAGGAAAAAGAATTCCACAAAGGCACAGACAGTCGTCAGCAACAGCCTTGTTAAAGGTTATATTAATAAAGGCTAAAGCTAATCTTTGCTACAATATAATCTTCCAGAAACAAATGCATGAGCAGAAACAGTCCTTGCCACACAAGCTGGAGTGTCGCCCTTACGACAGGCCTCGCTTCTTGGCAGTCAGACTGCGATGCCCTGCTCTCATTCAGTGAAGCTGCAGCAGGACAGTGCCAGATAAGTGCACATAAACACATCAAAGATCCAAAACCTGGACATAAATGTGGAAAATTAAAAAAAAAAAAAAAAAATCCTGTGTAACCCATTTTCATTTCTAACCTGTCAAAAATGCCACGATAAAAGAAGTGTTCAAATTAAATTCAAAGTATATTTAGGAGTACTGTAATGATGTCTTTTTTCTGTGGCTCACTTGAAGATGAAACATAAGTTGGATGCTGTAGAGTAGGGGTGGGGGAACTCCAGCTTCAAGGCCCGGTGTCCTGCAGGTTTTAGATGTGTCCCTGATCCAACACAGCTAATTTAAATGACTAAATTATCTCTTCAACATGTCTTGCAGTGCTCCAGAGACCTGGTAATGAACTAATCATTTGATTCAGGTGTGTTGACCCACAGTGATATCTAAAACCCGTAGGACACCGGCCCTCGAGGCCTGGAGTTCCTAACCCCTGCTGTACAGCATCCTGCAATGACTCATGACTGTTGTTGAGCTGGCTGTCACTCGGTGCTCACTTACTTAGCTACACCTGTTCAGCTGTTTAACACAAATATGTAATCAGTCAACCACATGTGACATGGCTGTGGGAGTGGGTTGACGCTGAGGTGGGGTGGTTAGCGCCATCGCTTTACGGCAAATAGGTCCTGGGCTCCATTTAAGTACTACACTTATGTGTAGGTTAGTGATTTTACTTTGGTTGTCTGTGCGAATGATTGACTTCCTTCCTGAAACAGATTGGCAAACTTGACAGGCTGTATCCCCATTACAGTTGGGATAGGTTTTTAGCCGAGCTGGAAGCAGAAGAGAGTGGGCACTTGGACCAACATCTCTAAAGATGTTTCCAGAGCCTTGTTCAATCAATGCCACAATTAAGGCTGAAATCAAAAGGGGTTCCAACTTGGTACTCAAATGTACTATCCTCACGAATACAGCAGGGACCTATTTTTATTTGCTTTCACTTCTTGCCAGTCGGACTGCAAAGCACTTGATGCAGTGCTAGTGAAGTGGCTTGTGAGTGGTAAACTGGCACATCTTCAAAGGTCTCTGTGAAATGGCTTGTTGCCCTCTCCCTCTCTCTCTCTGCTCTTTAGAAGCAGAAGGATCAGCTCCAACAGTTGACACTGGATGTCAACTGTTGGAGGATGAGCAGGGATGAGCCTCTCTCTGCTGCGTCACAGCAGTCAGCTTCTGCAGAGGCACGAGGACGCTTCTGTGTCAGTAAACATTCGTCTGAGTAATGCCTAGTACTGAAAAGTTACAAATAAACAGATTTTTACTTTAAACTACATGTAATAAATTTTTATTCTTGGGCAGCAGTGACCGACATTTCATGTACGGCTCTTGCTGTAGGCATAATGAGTGATAAACCAGTGGGTTAGGCCACAGAGGACATGTTTATCTTTGGTCTTCATTCACTCACATTCAATTCAAATCTATTTATACACCACCAAATCACAACAGTCACTTCAAGGTGCTTTATATTGTAAGGTTAACAACCCTACAATAAAAAACAAACAACCCAACAATCATACCACCCATTATGAGAAAGCACTTTGGCGAAAGTGGGAAGGAAAAACTCCCTTTTATCAGGAAGAAACCTCCGACATAACCAGGTTCAAGGAGGGGCTGTCATCTGTCACAAACAACTGAGGGTAGGGGAAGAGAGACAGGACAAAAGACCCACTGTGGAAATGCAGTGTGGTGTAGATAAAGACATAAAGCATGTTTCTGAGCCTTTTGGAACGTGCAGGCTTCTTCAGCTGTGACTGTGTGTTAAACACAAAACATATAAGAGCTGTAACTTATTTGGTCTTAAAAAGGGACTCTGTCTGAGGCAAGGATATGAAAATCTGCACACATTTTTATTAAATCAACAAATTTTATCTGTACAGCAAAATCAAATCTCACAATGATAGATGTTACATTTTCATAATACATGGCATATTCCAAGAAGAACAAAACTGCACAGCGATGAAATTTGTCCACATGGAGACTTCCGTACAAAACTGGTTTTGATAGCGGTTTTTAGTTTTCTGTCAAATCTCTTATTCAACATCTGACTTTAGACAGACACAGAAACAAAAAGGTTGTTGAGAAACGCTCAAAGCAGCGATCTCCTACCAAAAGATATTTTTCCCATTTCTCAGAGTGTGTTCACTTTTTGTTAATGAGCAGAAATCAGAAATATTCATCTTTGTGACTGCTTTTATATCACTCATGGGAAATAATTCACCACAAAAAGCTGCAAAGGATTTGTTTAAAAACAAATTTGGTTAATGTCGAAAAACATTTTCAGAAATTAATAAATGAGGCTATGTAGATGTGACTTACATCAGATAAAGTGAAAAAGTTAACATTTGTTACTGTTTTTAAGAAGAAAAGGCTAAATGTTTGGATCTTTTCATGTTATTTAACTGCAAAGCAATGATTTGCATGGCTCAAAAAAAAAAAAAGACTCAATGATTCATAGTCACGGGATTTTGATGTAATGTCAACATTATTTAGCTTTGATTGAGCTCTTTAATGCAAAATCTACATTAGGAGAACTACATGAAACTCTCATGCTGCTCATCAGTTGTCGTTTGGGTGGAAAAGTTACCGGACGTCTCCTTTACCTGGTAGAAATGACCCAGTTCTGAGGTTCTATGATGCAAAGGACACACCCACTGCAGCCATGACCAATACACTTTTAAATCACTACTACTTTTAAATGTATCAGTTTTAGACAGTGCTGGTTCATGTTTTAAGTTTAAGACATGACCCAGCACCGGAAACCACTGTGGTTTTGATAGACTGTAGATAAAAGATGGTCTCAAAGGGAAGCCCATGTGGAAACATTCTTTGTAGATATAGTTTTTTGTTTTTTTTAGACCAATACCAATTCTGATATTGTCCATTTAAAAGTCTGATATTCCGATATACCTGCTGATATTTTTCTTTCTGATAAACAAAGCATAAACAAATTTCCCTAAAATTTGCTGCATGTAGTTTATTTATTTACTTGTTTACACTCCCAACTCTTCTCAGGCCAGCAGGTTGTTGTGTTTGTGGCGCTCCAAACACATGCTGTCAACACCAAAGTTGCAGAGTGCCCTCTGGTGGACAAACTACAGAATATCAACACTCAAAAGACTCACTAGTTAAATGGTTGAAGGGTTTCTCTCCTGTTGGTACTTTACATTTAATTTATCGAGCATTATAAGTGCCAATACCAATACATCGGTAAATAGTTAATATTGACTGATATTATTAGTTAATATTAGCTCTAATACTTTGCTAATAGTCCACAGGGGATGACGTCTCATGATGTCTGGTTTCAAATTGCCAAGACGATGAGGATGTTTAAAATACTCCAGTCAAAACAGGATTTTACAAAACGAAGGGCAACATCCATCTTTAGTGGTTTTAATGGAAGTGAGTAACTAATGGTGTTCTCTTGTACATCACCAATGCCATTCAACCGCATCACAAATTTTTGAAAAAGATTTCTTTGACCACAACAGGGCAGTGCTTTACCAGCAGGTCTGCTGAAATGTGGATGGACGTGTTCTGTTGTTGAAGTCTAGATTTTAGTGGGGGAATTGTTCCTGTATGTTGCTGTCACTAGATGAAATTGGTTGTAAAGAGGCATACAGTGCTGTACAGTTTGTACAAAAGTCTGCAAACACTCCCCAACTATTCGCAATTTTTTTTTAAAGATTAAATTTTATTTATATAGTGCCAAATCACAAAAACGGTCACCTCAAGGATCTTTATATTATTGTAGGGTCTTTACCTTACAATATAGAGTAAAACCCCAACAATCAGGCAACTCCTTATGAGCAAGCACTTGGCAACAGTGGGAAGGAAAAACTCCCTAAACTAAGTGGCTGTAAAATGTAAAAGAGTGTCACGCAGACCACAGACAGAAATCAATCACCTCCAAGACGTAAATGTTGCGTCTTGAAAAGTGTTGGTTTCAATGGTTACGTACAACTTTTACTTTAAAGATAAATGGGTTCAGTTTCCTGTTTGTGTTACACTTTTCTAAGTTTCACTACCACTTTGTGGTTAGCTATCAAGAGTTTGCAGACATGTTGGCAAACACTCTGGGCAATCGCAGCATTCTGCTAGTGACCGCAACACAAAGTAAGCCTTTGGGCCAGGACCTCATTGTGACTGCCAGTAACCTATAGAAACCATTCACCAGAAAGTCTTTGACTGGTGTTGAAGCCTATGACAAAGGCCTTAGTTACCTGCTCATTTCCTCAAGAGGTTTTGCTTTTTGCCTCGCTACTATGGTTTAACAGAAGTACCATCTTATGGTGCAAATGAGTATTGCATGAAAGGTACAGTCCAGTCCTAGTTCAGCTCTAGTTGACATCTCTAAGTCATAGCAATTCTTTCTTCACATTCTTCTCGACATTTTAGTTAACTTTGGAAGGTTTTAAACCTTTTACAATTAGTACTTTTAAAGCTCCATCATACACAGCTGTACGTCTCTGCATGTCTCACTGTAGACTACAAAATCTGTATTTAGCTGGATTTCCAGGAAAAAAACATAAAAGATCAATCAAACTCAAAAGAAACTAAAACATCATCAGACAATAAATAAGGCATAATGTTAAAAAACAAACAAAGAAAAGTGCAATGAAGTTAGCATTTAAATTAAGTTTTAAAACCATGTGCGCAGGACAATCCAGTCAATGACAATATTGAGAGCAGCTGGACCTTCATTTCCAGTCAGTAACAAGCGAGATGGATCTGAACTGGTCCAGATGAAGGAAGAGAGGATGGGACGTTGTCACTGATGAGAAAATGTTTCAAAGCAACAGGAACTTGTCAGAATTCAACCACAAAGTTGAACGACTCAGGCTGCTGCAGTCACTTCCAAAGAAACGGTTTCCTGTTGCGCTGCATGCTCCAGTCGCCATTAAATATCACAAAAATAAAAGCGTCAGGACTGAACCGGGGGGTGGGGGGTGGGAGAGCAATTCTAGCCCCAGAAGCAACAGCCCTCAGTCACATCAAGAACAGCGCTTAGTTAGAACCTCAAACAAGATCGTCAGCGAAAGCAGATTTGTTTAAAAAAAAAAAAAAAAACATGATTGAGGAAAAACACTTGAATCAGACAGCCGGTGCTATCGCAGAGTTTGGAGATGTCCAAAGGGAGATTTTAGGATTCATTGAGGGGGTAACGGGGTCCAGAGCTGGGCACTGGTGTTGGCACTGTGCAGGCTGGCTGGTTACAGATCGGGCATCTGAGAGAGGAGGGGGAGGAAGAGGAGGAGGAAGGTAGGGAAAGGTTTAAGGGCTCAGTTCTTTCGCAAGCATCGGGGCGCTCGGTCTTCTATCGGTCCTTCAGTTCTCTCGTCACTCGCTTGGTGATTCGACCGCACAGCAGCCCCACCAGGAACAGGACGCACACACTCAGTGCGATCATGAACAGGATGTAGTTCTTGGAGGGTGATGTCATCACCTGCACGGCCAGGTCTGAGAAGCCTTCTGCTGGTGCCACCTATAGCACAGAGGGAGGGGGCTTGCGTCAGTGTTTGCCTGGATAGAGTGAAGTATCTTTACACTAATAGAATGATTAGTGCACAAATGTTTTGAGGTACTCACAGCAACTACATTACGCAACCTAACAACTCTTCCTCTGATGCTACCTGTGTGTTGGCATCAGGGTGGAAGCTCTAGTCCCAATTGTCACAGTAATCCAACTACTGATGTTTACCTTTGCAGCATAGCTCCACATGTCGATGCGGTCTTGAAGCCTCTTCTTACACTCAGGCTGAAGGCGAACTCTCTTGTCCTGTAACGCCTCCATCAGACACGACATCTCTGCATGGAGAGGGACAGAAAAATCTAGTTTTGGTGACCAAACACAGTAAAAAGAATCTCAGTGAAAGACATTCAAACCCCTCAGCCTCCTAGTAGAAGCACCTATGGTACCAATTTGAAAATCCTATGTTGCCTGATTCTTGAGTTTTTGTTGGCATGGCAACAATGATACCCCATGAGCCTTTCAGGCTGAGGTAAAGATGGACAAGCAAACTTTATTAGTAAACAGTCATTGATTGGGAAGTGGACTCTGATTAGAATACTTTCTTGGCTCCATCTAACCAGCCTGACAGTTTTGCACAAGAAGAAAGATTGTGTGAAAGCACCCACGTCGTCCTCTGCCCGGCGTGATGGCAGCACAGTGGTGTTTCAGGTCCAGAGCACAGGCTGTGTGGAGGACCGGGTCCACAAAGATGTCTGCCTTACTTTCCTTTAGCATGTTCAGGACTTCCTGCAAACACAAACAAATAAGGGATATGTGAGTTTTTACATTAAGATTCAGTGAGCATTTTTTTTGTTGCTGTGAAACCTAAACAAACACACCTAAAAACAAAAACAAAAACATACAAGGTTACCTGAAAGTGTAACCAGTAGCTTTTGGTGGCTAATGTTAGACTTTTTTGCTAAGTGTGCCAAATTAGCTAATGAGAGTTTTCAGCCATTTTCCCTCCTTCTTCTATGATACTATGAATGAAAATAATGAGATCATCTAGAAGCAACAGTCACAGTGACGCTAAAGTTTTCATTTGTGTGTTCAGACTTTGGCTCCTTTCATATTTTGAAGCCTTCTGAAACATACTGTACTAGTACAGTATTCTACACACTGTAAAATGTCCATGATATTTTAAAACCAACAGAAATATGCTAATAATCAAGTTCATCTTATGTTGTACTGTGGACACGTACCTTTTTACAGGCTTCCTGTCTGATTTTAAGCAGGTTGACTTTCAGACACTCTTCCACCTGACCAGTCTGCTCCTGGGCAGCCGCCTCCTCTGCGCACAATCTGGAGATCTGCAGAGGGAGAAAAAAAAGGAGGAGAGAGAGTGTGTGTGTGTGTGTGTGTGTGTGTGTGTGTGTGTGTGTGTGTAAGCACGTACTTCTTCTGAGCAGTGCATCTGCAGCTGTCGGTCCAGTCTGTAGTCGAGCGCAGACTCCTGGAGAATCACTCTGATCTGGTCTTCGCAGTCTGAAGACAATCTCTAAAACAAACCCCGGTCAGAAAACACACAATTTCACAACAATCAATCACCATGTTATAGATTTTCGTCTTTCACAACACTGTTGAAAGGCATACACTGCAACTTACAGCAAAAACAATGTCTGCCTGTATCTTTGAAACAAACACGACCTTAGTAGAGTTGTGCTCTAACCTGGTCAGCATATTTGAGTTTGAGGCAGGCGATGACCTGACCCTCCAGTTCACCGTCCTCGCTCGCTTTGTTCAGGATGGACTGGCAGAACTTTGGGATGTCGGCTCGACATGCCTTCCTCAGCACTGGGTTCAGACGGTAGTCTGAAGGGGGAGGAAGAGAAGGATGAGGACAGAGGACGCTACGGTCTTTTTTACGGGACTCTGTGTGGTTGTGTGTGAATACCTGTGTTCTGTGTGATCTGCCTCTTGGTGATCATCTGTTTACACTTGGGATCCATCAGCTCACTGTTCTTATTCTGCTTTAGACACTGGAGCACATTCCTGGCATCCGCTTCTGTACAGAACCGCTGCAGGAGAGAGTAATGGTGTTTGTACAGATAATGAGATCTAGGAACACGCTGACAATTACTCCATAAAGACCATAAAGCCATAGTTTAGTCACACTGTGTTAAACAGTTAATGTGAGGCTGTAAAACTGTACATATAAAAGTAAATTTGCAGAAAAAGTAACTGAAAGGTAAATGTGTGCAAAATCACAGGAAGTCCAGAACACAGGTCATCTGTGAAGAGGAATTAAGTCCATTTACTCATTTCAGGTTGTAAAACACTCACGTTTTTACTCCTTTAAATCTTTCTTAAACATATAGCTACTTTTTGGTTTACAATTTATATAAAGAATATGTGCTAAGATTATAAAATGTAAACCACTGCTAAAATTAAATCAGTAGAAGTTTCCTATCAAACTATTTCAGCAGATTTTGCAGCACAAAGGTATAGATGAGAAAAAACTTTAATAAAAGAGTGAGGTTTCACAACTCTCAGTCAAAGACACAGCACCACAATGACAGAATTCAGTCCCAGTGCTTTTCCCCACGATCTCCCTTTTCCTGCCTCCATCACCTTGATCATCTGTTTGCAGACTCTCATGAGCTGGTAGTCGAGCTCGGGGTCGCTCATCTCCACCTCCTGCAGTCTGAAGATCCGCTGGTGGCAGCGCTGGCTGAGCTGCTTCTTCTGCTCCTTCAGACACTCAATCATCTGAGTAGGAGCAGAGGGCCAGGACGAGTGAAGACGAGAACGATAAAGAGTGGAGGCAAACAGCAGAAAAGAACAATACAATGCTTCTATTCTTACACAACACTCTGCATTCCCTACCTGAGCGTTACCAAATGCTACGTTGGGACACAGACGACTGATGTCTGACTTGCAGGGCTCGTACAACTCTGGTTCCAACCGAATATCTTCGGACTGAATGAGAGGGAAAAAAAAGGAAACTTTAGTGTTTTTCTTAGAAAATTTTTTACAAAACTGATTTTTGACAAAAGTAAAAGTAGAACCAAAGTAGAACCTGGTTTTACAGATTAAATGTCCCGTGGTGCTTTTCTGTATCACAGTTCACACAGTAGTGTGTTATTGTCTAGTTTTATAAATCCTAAAAAAGCTTATGCTTAAGGAAACACTAACTTTAATGCTGGTCTATAAACTGTAGGACTTAAACATTACTTGGTGGTTCTATAGTGTCGTAGCTTACACATTCCCTTAATGAGGAAAAGATCCCTAGTCCGATTCAAGATGGAGACATATGTCCCTTTTGGGTTGTGTCATAAAGGACATCTAGTGTTTAAACCACTGAACAGCCGGAAGTAGCTGTTTCTTATCGTGAGATACTGATAAGAAAAGTTCTTTCTTATAGTGACATTCCCGATCAGTGTTGACCAGGAAAGATTTCTTTCATATTACAGTAAAACTCCAGTCACCAGTGCTGCACTATGAACATAGTAAAAAGATGGATTTATCCTCCTTGTGAAAAGTGAAGTTAATGCACATGGGCCTCGGGTAACTCCCATGGCTACAAAAAGACTTCCAGTTGTATAGAAGGATTTCTCTATGACCTCAGTAAACACTTCCCAGCTTATAGGTTTATAAGCTCAGCTCCTGGTTTCTAGCCATATTGAATAAAACATTAAGTTAGTGAATTGTGGAGGCTGTAAAACTGTAAAAAGAGTCCGATACGAGTCAGTGAAGTTCACATCTATTTATCTGGAAGGTTGCATGTCTAACCTGTTGCTAATAAGTAACTGCCGCAATCCCGGCAATAAATGTGCACGTTTATTCATGTTTTTGTATGTTAGAGCCCTGAGTTCAGGTCAGGAAATTCGGCTTGCGGTAATGAAAAGGAGGCTTGCGGTCATGTTACCTCTATGCCACACTAGCACCTACAAGTTCTCTTCTCCTCTGCCTTTGGTGTAAAACGTATGCGGCTGGTCTCTAGACACATACATAAAACATCTATTCAAGATGATGGAGCGCATTACGTTTTAGTTCATAAGAATGCATCTATTTGTTGGAACATGTCAATGCAATAACTATATTCGTTAGCGCAACACTATTTTTTTCTATTAAGCTACTTGTGTGTTTCATATATGTTTCAATGTTAGCTAATAGGTGTCACCACTGTTTTGACAATAAGGAGGCTTTTGACTTTTTCCCACACTGCAGGTTTATTGACCCATCCATCAAAAATACGTGAAACTGTCTGTACATTTTTACACTTTCATGTTGGCAACAGTGTGAGGAGCAAGTTTACAGTCATTAGCTAATTAACCAAATTTAAAGATAATCCCGGCTGAAGACACTTCCATGTTGGCTTCACTTTTTATACCTGGATGCTATGTCCGTTTTTATATACAGTCTAAAATTAAGTTTAAAGTGCTGAGATCAAATGACATAAGCAAAACATTGTGTTGTCATGGATACGTTAAGGGTTAGGTAACACTGTGGCTGGCAGACTGTCTGAAAGAAGTCTGAGTGTGTGTGCATGTGTGCGTATGTGTGTGTGTGTGTGTGTGTGGTACCATCTCCAGCTCCTCTACCCGCAGCTGTTTACGACATTTCAGAGACACCCTCTGCTCCCTGGCCTCCTGCAGCGTGTCATTCCTCACTGTGGTGCTGAGGCAGATGACAACATCCACTCTGCAGGGTCACACAGAGAGTCACTTATGTCCAATTAAATCAGTTAGAATGTTAAACTAAAGCTCAACCTCAAGGAGATTTTGCACTATTCTCATTGGTTAGCAGTCATAGAGTCTCACTTTTTCTTGATGTTTGGACACAAGCGCAGAACATCCTCCTTGCAGGCCATTTTGAACTTATAGGAAAACCGGAAATCCTTCATTTGAATCTGAGAGAGAAGCACAGGGATACTATGGTGATAGTATTATCCTTTTTTCGTTTTTACAATTATTTGCATTTATTTCATTCTTGTTGTCACTATTGTGTAACTCAAAAACAATATTCAAATATTAAAGCTTCTCTGAGTCTAAGCTCTGATCTAAGCTCTTTGAAGATAAAATTCAAAATCAAAGAACAACAAGAAAAAGAAACTGGTATCACAGAGTAAAGAGAGAAACAGAGACAGAAAACAGAATTTCATGATCACTCACCAGCTGGAAGTGTGTAACCCCAACTGCACATTTGTCATTCATCTCCTTCTGGTGTTTATTCTGAACCAAACACTCCATCAGATCACCTGTGTCGATCTGGTTATCAGCTACATCCTGCACACACAAATAACAATGCAAACATCCAAAATGTTTCTATTTACGTGACATTCAGGGACAACAACGCACAACACCACCACAGTGTCGTTGTTCAGTGGAATAAATGAAAATGCTCCGACTATACTCCGGAAAATAAATACACGGCTCAAAAAAACGTTCCTTCTTACACAAAAGAACAGATACTGATCCTGTTGATGGGTTAAGGACCTCCTACAGTCTTGTCCAGCTCTCTAAAGTAATTGTCTCTCTTCTGGATTAACAACCCTCTGAGCTATTAAACTAACCAGACCAATATTCTAGAGTTTTCACTGACTTGATGCTATAGTCTAAATAAAAAGTGTTCCTTTGATTATTTTAACGTGTATATTCTTGAGGAACCACACTGAATAACATTTATTTTAGTGCAAGCAACAGAAAAGAATGCATTAGTGTTGGCCAACCCATGTGTAGGCATGAACACAGTAAAAAACAAGACCAAAAGCACTGTGAGCAACTGAAACATATGTTTACGTACCCTGCAGATCTTTAGCATTTGAGGTTTGAAGACAAAATGTTTTAAAGTCTCTTTGACACAATGCCCACTCTACATTACTTCACAAACAGGCATGCAACAGGTTACCGCCACCACTTTTCCCTCACGTGTCCCAAGGTAAAGTCAAATATGCTCACGTGGCAGTGTGCCTGAATGACGGGCTCACAGGCTCTGATGAGGAGAGCGTCGATCTGGATGTCCTGAACAACGAAACACACAGCAACGGGTCATAAATGTGAAGGTGAGACAAGAATCGCTTGTGTCAACACTGTTTCTCTAACAGCTCCTGCCTGCTTTCGGTTTAGCTTTGCTAACCTCTGACTCCAGCTCTGTCAGGTTGCCCACGACATCCTTGCAGCCGGAAACTAAGTCCTCCAAATGATCCTGCAGACATTCCAGCTCCTGGACAGAGGCACACATTCAGCAGCAAGAACAAGAGCATTTCAACCATTACTGTGCGGCAGCCCCTAATGTGTGAACCTCTGCATCTATAGGCCGGTTTACATGTGATCTAGACTAGTCCCAGTATTTTCCAGCCACAGGATTTATGACACTGTGTGCACATCAAAGGCCACAGGCTGCCAGAATGGCGTCAGAGAACTCTAACAGATATAAGCAGCAGTAACGGCCGCTGTGTGCTCACCTGTCCAGCATCTGTCTTCTCGCTGCACCACTTGCCGAGGTCTGTCATGCAGCGTTTCTGCAGCTCTGGGTCCAGCTTCACATCCAGCGCCCTCTGGTGGAGAATCCTCTGAACTTCCACCTTACAGTCCCGAGATAACTGCAAACAAACACATACATCACTGGTCACAAGGTTGAAACACACACGCATTCACAGTTTTCTTCTGTGAGGACCCATGATGACGTGTGGATGTGTATTAAGTAGTTTAGTAAGTGCCAGGTTCTGATATATAATGAACATTATTGTCACAATCATTTGCCTTTTTTCCCCAACAGAACTGCACAGACCCTGCTGGCAGAGAACACCCTTTACAGGGTTTTATGTTTGGCGTTGTAGTTGGTTTGTTATTTGTTTGCTTACATTCTCAGTCTGCTCAGTTAGTCTCTCTCTGGTTGGGGCCTTACCCGGACTTCCAGTTTTTATCATTATCATGTTATTTTGGATGGAGGAAATGGATAGCTAGTTAATTAAATGAAATGAAATGTAGATTAAATGGGTTTCAAAAGGGTATAAATTGTAAGCTATATGTAGCTCACTAGATTAAAAGGGGGTATTATGCATGATTCATATTTAAAAACATGGGTATCTTACACTGGGTGTTGATGTAGCCTCTCAGTTCATCGTCTACCTGATGCCTCTCACAAACAGAAGATTTAAACAGCGGTTGGTTGCTCTGAGATCATACAGAGCCGGCACTGTGCAAAAGTCCTGAGCCACCCCTCATTTCTTTGTATTTTGCATCCAAAGTGAGTTTCTTCTACTTTTTAAAAAAAAAATGGTCTGGAGCAACAGTTCTCCAGCCTTTCAGAAGATCTTTGTTTGACTTCTGCTGCTTTTCCCCTCATTTTTCATCCAGTTTTTGTACAGTCTGTTTTCAGAGGACTGTTTTTACACCTAACTCCAGGCCAATTTGAAATTGTCTCGGAATGGTGTGAAACGTGTCCCTCAAAAAGCTGAGGAAACTAGTGGCAGACCTAAAAAAATATCTACAACAGACAAACAATATAAGTAAGTCATGTCCTTAAAGAAGGGGAAAAAAACAGCAAAGCACCTGAGAGAACTGCCCACAAAGACTAGACTGACTGACTGAAGAAGGTGGCCATGAATTTCCATTTATGTTTATAATACTTTACTGGACCAGTTTCCCATTAACTATGTGAAGAAATAAGGGCTGCTCGAGGCTTTTGCATAGTACTCTATAGTAGCAGTCTGAACCCTCAGCTTGGGATTGTTTGTACTGATCTAATTTTTTGGGGAACTTTGGAACTATACAACACAAAATAAGGAAAACCATATGACCTGCACTAAAGTACTGTGTTGCAGCGCTACCTGGTGACCAAGAGATTAAAGCCCAGACTTGCTATACCAGCTAGGAAGCCAAAAAGAAATCCCCTCTGTCATCTTGTAAATCCTTATTTTCAATAATCTGTCATTTTCAGGAAATTTGATGAAAAAGCTAAAAAAAACTGTTACATCCCGTGAGGCTGTGGGAGTGTGTGGGTGTGGTGTTGTCCTCTCCCTCTCCTCCTCCTTTTTCTTGCCCCTCCCCCTTGTCTCTCTTTGCCCCTGCCGTCTCCCTCAGGAAGCAGCTGCTGCTCGTCTGCCCTCGTTTATCACCAATTACCTTCCAGAGGTGATATAAACTGGAGGAGAGCAGCGCGCTGGGTGGGAGAGGCTTCTGGTGGATTTCTGCTGTGTGGGTCGGCACGAGGTGTTGGAAAGGGCCCGGTGTGTGTGTTTGACCAGCCCACTGTGTGTGGTGAGTGTGAGTAGCTCTCAACTGAGCAGTTGAAAAATCTTTAAAAACCTGAATTCTCCTGGTTACTCATGTACTGATTTACAATAACACAGCCTGCATTGATTGAGGTCACCATCCCCATTCACCGCAGACTCTGAATGTACCATGACGCATTACTAACCTCGAGTGGCTTTTTATCTCTGTGGAACGTTTCATGCTGCCTACAGTAAAACTCTATCACGAAGCAGAACCTTTCTCCATTTGTAGAAAAAACGCATCATTCATGACAGCATTTTCAAGACAGCGCTTTCAACCATGAGCCAATCTGGATGCACTGCTTTTAAAACACGAGGGAAGTTAAATCATCACAACATGGACTGAATATGAAGCACGATTTGAAGCATTTTCTTTTGCGCCAAGTTACTTTTCAACTGCTGTTTTTTCATTATTTTTTTAAACTGATTAATTTTCATGACAAATATTGATCTTTAGTGTTTATCTGTTTAGTGGCACCACTTGTTTTCCTGCAGCTGCTCAACAGTTTCAAGTTTTAATCCAAGCGTGTTTAGCTTGCCAAATGACTGTGCATTTACACACGTAGTAAAGGCTCTTTTGTGTGGATGTGTGAAACAGCTAAAAAATGTCCCACTTTTCTGAACTGGGGCTCACACTGAAGGTTTGACACATGCATACACCATGATTACTGAGACCATATAATTATATCAAATAAAGCTGTCAAGGGTCTTCTTTATAATCAGTATAATTACTCAAAATCAGGGCGAAGTGGATTTCCAACTCATTAATTTTTTGGAAAGAGAGAGAAAGTGATTATACAGATTTCAAAACCAAGCAGAGCAGTCAGGGTTCATCATTTGAACTACTGAACCTGTGACTTAGAAGGGTACAAGCCAGCACTTCAGTAGCAATTTGTGTCACGAGAGTGAACAACTAAACTGAATCCTGCTCCTAGATTAGCTTTCATAGTTTCATGATGGATTTTAAAATGTGCTCTTATCCTCTGAAGGACTTGCTTTACCATCTATATACCAAAATTAAGAGCACTTTTGCATTAGTTTGGGTGTCTTTTAATTTTAGGTTCCTGTAGCGTCGGCAAGATGCTTAAGACCAAAAGTTCCAGATACTTTTCATAGCTTAATGCAGACACATCATCATTCACACTTTTAAACATTTGAAGTTCCATAGAAGTAAAGTTTGACATTAGACTGACTCTGATCATGCCCCGAGTTGTTCTAGCGCCACCATGGGGTTAACAGTTTGATTCAGCCTCGCTCCAACCATCACCATTACAATCATCGAGTTAACTCCTCACCAGGATCAGTACGAGCTGATTTAGGTAAAATCAGAGTTCTTACCTGCTTTTCAGATTTCGCCTGTTAAATTTAAAAAACAGAGTTATGCCTGCTGCTATGACCAAATATAACCCTGAACCAACCAAAATATTATACCTAAACAGCTTAGTGCGGTCTAAAGTATTTGCTTCTGCTGTCAACATACCCGTCTTCCCTGCTCCTCTGTGCGGTAGGCATGGCGATAGAGGCAGGAAAAGACAGCACCCGGTGGCATCACCTCGTTGGTCTCGTTCCAGCCGTGTGTGTGGCAGAGGCGGGCGGCGTCAGCCTGACATTTCTTATAAAGGATGGGGTCCAGTCTGGAAGACAAAAACTTAATGGATACTAAAACACACCCACAAAACAGACCTCCAAGTCCTGTTTCCTGCTGATTCAAGTCATTCTATTGTACAGTTTCAGCTGTTTTTGTTTTTTTTTGTGTTTGTTTTTTTTTTCATGTTACCCATCACTACTCCCAAAATCATCAGCCTGCCACATTTTCTGATACACTACATGGAAAAAGTTACTGGGCCACCTGCGCATTACACCTACAGGAGCTGCTCGGGCATGGAATCCCACACCACAAAGCTCCCAGCACTCAGTTTTTGCGCTGATGTTAATGCCAGAGGAGGTTTGCAATGCTACAGTTTTTTCCTTAGCAGAGCGCTGGTGGTTTTTACCCACTGTGCACCTTAGCACTCTTTACCTTACAATATGAAACAACTTGAGGTGAATACGGCTGTAATTTGGTGCTATATAAATTAAACTGAATTGAATTGAACTGGAACTGAATTGATAGGAAACAAATGCCACAAGTTGACTTGCTGCCATAGTGCACTTCACCCTATTAGAGAACCATGCTTGAATTCAGTGAGCTGTAGAACGTCTTTTGCGTGCTGATGAAAAAGAGGCTAACTATCTAGCTGGACTTAATATAAACCAAGCTTAAACACCAGAGAAAGTTCTACAGCTGAACAATGTCGATTTGTCGCATTCCCATCAGCATCAGCGGGCACACTCACTTCCAGTCTCTGGATATAAAATACTGAAGCTCTAACAGGCGGTGTTCACAGTCCTCCACCATCTTCTCTGTGTACAGATGCTCCATCAGGCATGACAGGATCCTGCACACCGACACACACAGACATACCAGCACATGAATCAGTGTTTACCAGGAAATCCGAAGAATGAAAAAAGGCAGATTTTGAAAGCAGGCGTCCTTCTCCTGCAGGTCTCTCTTGCTGTTTTAAGCCCCCTGTTTTAAACGTTAACAATTACATGTGATGCCTATGGGATAAACATATGCTGTTTTTTTGTTTTTATCAAACTCCAATCTGCCAGGTTAAGGTCCTACGTTTGCGCTATCGCCGCACTGTATCTTGCCTGCGACATGGATATTTTCAATCTTTCATGCTACAGTTTCTAAAGCCGAAAAGCAGAAGCCAGAGAAGGTGCAGTTGAGTCTATGCTCCCTCTAGACTACTTGAATTACAATATGCTGAATGGTAATTACGTAATTTTCAACACAGTGCGGCTCCCCTTAACTTTAAGCACATACGCGATTAAATCGTGGTCATGGTAATTAAGACTATTAATTTTAGCACTTGTGTCTGTTTTGGTTCCTTTTTTAATATTCTTATGATAAAAAAAGCAGCGTGTCACTGTTGTACTCGGTCACGGTAACAGCAGCAGTGAAAATATGAATGCTTATGTACTTATGTAAGTCTTAATAAAAACTACATTTAAAAAGTATCATCTGATTATCATTTAAAATTCCGATTAAGCTTAACCTGAAAGCAGTTGCATGTGTGCACGTGTGTAACCAACTCACATTGGGTCTCCATTGCGGATGTGTTTGCAGGCAGTCTGGATAACGGACTCGCAGGCCTCGTTGAGAGCCCGGTCGATCCGATAGTCGCCTCCTGGATCAGCAGACTGGATCAGAGTCTGAAGCTGCAGTGAGGAAAAATAATATTCGAATATTCAGGAAATAAATTTAATGGCAAGAAACTGGATTTTATTTATTTGTCATTATTTTATTGACAACCTATCAACCCCCAGTAACTGCAAATCTGATCAAACAAAATTCTGCCCGACATGCCATGACAACTCAGAGTACCGGTCACAGTGTCTGCTGTTTGTGAAGTATTTAGCCAATACAAAATCTGAATGTTCTTCACTGACAACAACATTTTTGATAACTAAATTTGCAGTTTTATTTCATGATGACTGATTGAATGAAGGACTGATTATTTCATGCAATGGTCTTACAGCGTTCTGGCAGACGCTGTCCATGGCATTGCTCCGGTCACCACGACCGATTCTCATCAGACAGTGCAGTGTGCGGCCTTTGCGGTGCAGGCCGGAGCACTGGGCCTCGATCTCCGTCCGGCAGTGAAGCACGATCTCCGGACTGAGAGAGAAATCCTCCATCAGCATCCGCCGGTAGTCCAGCATCTCCCCCTGGCATTCTCCGCTGACCGGATGCCCTGCGTAGCACAAGAACCACCTATTACTAACACAATTAATAATGAATGCACATGAAATGTAGATAACTTCACACCCTATTCATTATGTTTGCAATTATATTTATAAAAAAAGAAATACTCTTTACTTAAAGCTGTATTCATTTACTTTTTGGCTACTCTGGGATTTCAAGGTCTCATTTAACAATATATTCCAAATAAATTCTATATAGAGAGTTTAAGTCCACCACATAAGGGTTAAGTCCAATCTTTACTCTAAGTTATATTTTGGTCTTCTCCTTTGTTCACCATCTTCTAGCTTTGTCAATCTAGTGTTAGATACAGGAGATTGATATTAAGAAGATTTTTGCAACCCTGAGTTAATGACCAGTTTTTCTCTAAACACCCCCCCCCCACCAACAACAACAACAACACCACTCACCACGGTGCACAGAAGCTTCAAGGCACAGGAGCAGGTATGACAGTCGGGCTTCACGGGCACGCGGCAGGCTGGTGTCCAGGCTGCAGCGCTGCTTCCTCAGGTCCAGCTTGCAGGCTTTAGCTAACGAGTAACTAACTCTGTAGTCCTGAGAGATGAGCTTCTGACGAGTGGTGAGAGCATCACGGCACTTTGAAGGCGAAGGAGGGGAGAAAGGTTATTAGAGACCAAACAAATTCACTAAAGTTTACTCAAAAGCCCTACAGAGTTTCATCAATCACGATCGTGCAGCCCTGTCAGCCACGCCGAGGAACAAGATGAATAAATGAGATGGTTGTACCTTTTCCGACATGGCCTCTTCAAACTTGTGATTGAACAGACACTTGTAGACTTTCCCTTCTCCTGCCTGAATCTGTGGAGAAAAGTAGAAAAGGGTTTCCGCTCTGAGATGTTAAAGGGATTTGCCAGCCCCACACAGCTTGTGTTTCTACAGTTGGAAACCAAGAGAAACCAGTTCATGTATAATTTCCATATTTTCTGAATGCATTAACTGTTTGTGTCTGATCACCGGAAGCATGAACATCATGCAAGCAGCGGTAGAGCCTCCTTACGTTCTGGCAGAACCTCTCGCGGTCGTCTCGGCAGGAGAAGTAAAGGTGTCTGTCGAGGTGAAAGTCATCTGAGGAAAGTTCCGCCACCCGCAGGATCGCTTTCTGACACTCCTCTTTGATTGGATGAGCACGATCCTGTTGCTCCACCTCCCTCACTAACGCCTTCTCGAGACAAGCGATCACTTCACCCTGGGAGTGAATGTCCTGTAAAGAGACATCAGGGATTCAGAGAGAGGGCAATGACACTCTGAATATGCTGATGATCTATAGGCATGGTGTCATAATGTAGTGGTTTACACATTCCATTGGCAAGCAAACGGTTGCTGGTTTGATTCCAGTTGGCTTACAAAATTCTTGCAGACCAAAGAGTGGGTTGACTTTCTCTTCCATATAACGAGAAAGAAATTAATGGGATTTGCAAAAACTTCCAACTATATTTTACCAAATGGAACTTAACAGGACACAATGTAACGTGGGTACAGTACAAGACTCGACACTATTTATATGTTTGAAAATAACAGTAACAAGTGTTGCAAGTGCATAAATGCTAAAAATCTTAGGGTTAGTTTAGCCCGTTTCCTGGGGGTTACTAGGCAACATGATTACAATATAATATGTAATATTGATAAGAACCTTTGTAGGCCTAAGATGTACTTGTGTGCCAATTGTGGACTGTGTAGGAGGACATCATATACAAATGGAGATTTTGTGTATTATAATAAGCACTAAATAGCCTGCACTTGCCACTTGGAGAGGTGGGTTTCCTCTGGTTACGCCACCTTATTATTTTTTTTCATTTAACCCGAAAAGCCTGTAAATGAACTTTTCCTGATTTATGGACTCCTTTTTATGATTTATTAACTTCTGCATATATTTGCACAGTCCTGACCTTGTGTCCTATGTTGATGCTGCCGCAGCGCAGGCTGTTGATATCTTCTTTGCATTTGTCCATGAAGCCACAGATCAACCTGTAGTCGCTGAAGATGATGCTGGTCATCTTGGTGATATACTGGTTACACTGGTACTCACTGATGTTAACACGGTGATCCACCAGGCAGGACACCAGGTAGCCCCTCCCTCGCTCCACCTCATTACACTCCTTTATCTGAAGGTGCAGAACATTTGACAGGTCAGAGGAGAGCAAAGGACAGACCTAGAACTTCCCTGTAGAGTCAAAGGCAGACTGACCTCAGTGATGGTGCTCTTACAAATCTCCATGGCCACAGATTCAAACTTTGGATCTGTGGTTAGATTGAGTTTGTAGTTCCACAGAAGCTGATTGAGGAAAAAAAAGTTAGGATTTCAATTACAATCCAATTTATCTGTTAATTAGAAATGAAACATAGTGAACTAAAAAAAAGCCAACTCATTAACTACAACTAGTAGCAAAGAGTTTGTGGCGGTCGTGTAAAGCATTGCATTTAATTAGATAATTTCTCTTCTTTATTTTTGGAGGAGGCACAACTGTTAAAAGTTTCTCTTGAGAAAGCAGCTTCTAAACTCACAAAGTTTCTTTGTGAATGTGATGTTGAAATAGTCCAAATCTAAGTAATCTACCCTGAACGATTTTACAAAAGAATAGTTTATTCAGAGAGAACTACGCCTGAACGATCAGACAATCCCCATCCTGAAGACTGATGATTTTTTTAAGGATTTTAATGACAGAAATAAGACCTTCCAATGTGCTCTTTTTATTGTTTTCTAATACTCTGTGTATCACTTTCTTATCAGAGGGGTTCCAGCTGCAGCATCCACAAACAACAGCTACTGAAAGTCGGTCCACCGAGAAAATAAGATAGAACAAGTGAGCGTGTGACATGTTAACTGCAGCCAGTGCTTTCCATGCTGTAATAAAGACAGTCCAAGTGCTCCATAAGCCTTGTGGTGTTTCATAAAACTGCCTGCTGTTAGCAGCCCTGAACTCTGAATATTGAAGGTTTATCATCCAGAAGGCACGGAGACGAGCTTTCGGAAGCTCTTAACGCAAAAAGAGGAGAAACTCCTAATTTAAAGTTAGACGGCGTTGATGTCAGTGACGGTCATCAGCTGGCAGTGTGGAAGCTGTGGGTTCTTCAAAGCTAGTATTTAGAGTGGGGAAGAGAATGTGAAAGGACCTTGTTAAACAGAGAAGAGAGGATCATGGTCAGCGGTCGCTGATAATTAGACTGCTTTATTTTAAATTCTCTAAATGTTTCCAATAATCTCTCCGATTGTACAGTGCATTAAAATATGCAGGTCTGTGACACTGCTCCAAAAAATATACTGAATTGAATTAGTATGCACAGACTGCTTTTTAGACCAATATTGTATTAGATTCTACATTTCTACTTGTTTACTATTTATGGACATATTAAGACATATTTCTAAGATAATATAATCCAGTTTACAGTAGTGGTTGTGGCCCTGAGTCAATAAACATACTAACATGCTTGCATGCAGAACGTTTACCATGTTCACTCCTTTATATGCATTTTAATATTATATAAATATATTTCATGCAAGCAGTCATCTCATTGCACTTTATATTGTAAGGTAAAACCTCTAAAATATTAGAGAGAGAACTACAATGATCCCCTATAAGGAAAACAATTGGCTACAGTGGTGAGGAAGAACTTCCATTTATCAGGAAGAGATCTCTAGAATCAGGTTCAGGCAGGGGCAGACCTCTACCATGACTGATTAGGAGTGAGAGGAAAGAGCATACAGAAAAGTATAGCGTTAAGCAAATAGGACAAAACTAAAACCAATTATATCTGCAGTAGTTGGGGATGACATAAATGTTACAAATATTTGTTATGAATAAATTAAAGGCATAACGCAGTGATCACGAGACATGGATGGAAAAGAGTCCTCAGGTGACAAAGGTTCGTAAACTCAGCCAAAAATTTAAGTGTAAACTTTTCAGCAGTTGGTACATCACAGCTGTGTGTGTTAGGATGTTCTGTCAACCTTTGAAATTACATATTTCAATATGTTTGGTTTAAATTCTTTAACAGCAGGGGCAAATAACAGTAACTTTGACTTAAAAATCTGTCAGATGCAGTGAAATAATTCCAGCAGTCCAAGCAGGACAGGTATGTACCACCCTGCATATCCAAAAGGCTAATTATCACATTTGATTTCTTGGTGAGTTAACTTTAAGCCAAACAGACTTGGTTAAAATTTTGATTTGGCCTGACAGCATTAGCCGAGTATGAAGGCACGCCTCTGTTATATCTTTCTTTGTCTCACACTTGTACTGTTTGATTAAAAAGTTCTGCGTGAATTTGTGTGTTTTAAAACAAATACTCACATGGTTGCAGTCAGGAGCAATATCAATTTCCTGCAGAAAGACAAAAAGAGGGAGAAATGTGAATCTTCAATTCAATGAAATTTTATTTATATAGCGCCAAATCACAACAACAGTCGCCTCAAGGCGCTTCAGTAGATTTAAACATCTTTCAACACTCTAGTTTAATCCATGCTTCCATCAGAGAGACACAAATAGTCATTTGTGCTTTAAGGACTACCCTGCCATATTTTGTCAACATGCTGCAACAATGAGATTTCCAAGTTTGGCAACACCCTAACCTAAACACGCATCGGAACCAAAAACCAACTCTGACAAACTCCAACTTTTAAGCAGCACCATAGCCAGAGATAAAAGGAAAAAGTTCCAGCACCTGCTTGTATTTCTTTGTGCACTGGTTGAACAAACTAGATATAATAAGATAGTAAGTGTGTTTAGAGGTATCGGAAGGTTTTTTGTTTTATTAGTTATATTTATATGCTGAACCTACTGCACCATGCATTGGTTAATAAACCAACAACAAGACTCAGCAAAGGCACGGTTAGTTACACTGAAACCCTTTAAAACTGTTGAGCTTGTTGGCAAGCAGTCCATTTTCCTAAGGCCATGTGAGTATAGGCAGAGTTTCCAGTTAAATGTTGCTAATTTTCATTATATGACGATTGTTAAGACTGATTTTATATCACCAAGATTTGGTCATTTAAAAATCTGATATACTGGGCAACGCTTTTTTCATTCAGACACATAAAAACAGATTTCCCTAAAATTTGTTTATGCACAGTTATCTAAGAATTTAAGACCGTTTTAATTAATATATGCAATTTAATTAATAACTTTTTAAAATAAAGTTTGTTTTACTATCAAAAGTTGTTGACTACTGATTTACACTATGCTCAGCTATGCTTGTGTTCCTGGACTTGTAAACGTGTTTCCAATACAGAATAGCGCCCTCTGACAGAAAACTATGCAACATCAACACTCATAATATGGTTGAAGGGTGTTTCTCCCATTGCTTCTTTACTTTTAGTTATTGGCCATTATAAATGTTGGTCCCAATAAATCAACAAATAGATAATATTGGTTAATATATAGCCGGGTGCTAATAATTGGTATAGGTCAATTAAGTTGGTCAATATATACACTTAAGGAGCAAAGCTATATTTGTATTATCTTTTATCATCTTCACCCAATGTAGTTTAATGTTAGCATGACATCTAAGAAAAGATGAAACTGAACTATTAACAAACTGATTGGAAACTTGGGTAAATTTTGCTACTAGTAAGTAATGTGGCCTAAAAGCTAAATTTTCGCTTTTTGTAAAGTTACTTTGTACAATTTAGGACTTTTATCACAAGGTAGAATTCTTCTATCTGCATATAAAATTATTTAATGTTGCTATCTTGAAAGATGATTTTAAATGAATAAATCTGTGCTCTAGTAGCCACAAAAAGAGGTGGGCCAAGTACGATTTGCAGAAACGTTGAGCTAACACTAGCTTACATAATATCAACCCTATTTCAACTTCAGTCAGCCACTTTTCAGAACAATATACATAAGGCTTAGATAAACTATAGCATTTCATTTTTTGAAGTTCTGTTGCCTTAGTCAATTTAGATGGTGTTACACTTTTGTTCAACAAGGGGTTTTTTAATATCTCGGAAAAAACATTTTTGTAAAACCAACCTCTGCAAAAATAAAGGAAAGCAGTGCAGACAAGAAATGTGCCTACTGACTCGCCTACTATGTAAAACCTAGACTCGTGCTCCATGGCTAAATCGAAGGTAGGATTTTAGTGCAACTGAGTGAGATTGAAAATACATAGAGTGCATTTTTGGAACTGTCCCTTTAGCTTCAGAAAGAACAGTTCAAAAATACCACCAACATTGCCCTAAAGCGCTGAGCAAAGTAATGTTTTTTTTCTCCAAAACGCAGCAGTTTAATATGAACAAAGCAGCAGAAGCTCTTCATAGACTCGCCCACAACATCCTTGACTATCAGACAAAAGCCAGCAGCAGAAGCTCTTCTTACATCTCCACATCACTTTGCTGTAAAAAGACATGAAAGCACTTTGTGATAACTCTGCTGCGCCCACGGGAACAGCGACAAAAGGCCTTCTTTTGATTTTAAACTCTCATTTCCACTAAATGCTTCAGACACAAAGAAATCAGTGTAATAAGGATACAGACCCTTGGTGGGTTCCCAAATTTAAAAAAAAAACAAAAAACTAGTCATACTATGAGTTATTAATTAATGAAGAGCTGATCCATTCACATCAACCATATTAATCAACTAGACTGATCAAACTGAAGTGGAAAGGATAATTGTGCCTTGGTAAGGGGCAGAGAGATAAAACAAATTGGGGCTGATGTGTTCCACTGAAGACTCTACATGTACAACTCTGTACATGTTAAAAGTAGCCTGGCTTTTTCTGCGACTAAGTCATTGAAATAACTATACAGCAGAAACTACTCATGGAGATGGACACACCGAGAGATATCACTAATTCCTTAACGCAACTAAACTTTTAGAGATCTTTTTATGTGTCATTGTAGAGGCAATGCTTACAACTTGACACTAGGAGCCCCAAGAAGAGATGAGAACTTGTCAGTTTGGAACAAGCTTTATCTGTCATACAGATGGCCTCACATTTGACTCTAGAATATTACAGTGTACAAAAGGGTTCATGATCGACTTAATAACTGAAAGGTGCCTACGCATAAAAACACAAGCTTAAATCATCACACCTCCACCACCGAATAGGCTTTTGCCCTGTTAAACCATCCAAATTAATGTAAAGGAAATAGCAGTCTATCAGAGTTAGAGATACTTCATCATCAATTTAAACAGAAACAGCTTTAATTGTCCATTGTATTAATGACCCGCCTGGGGCTGTTTTTGTTTGACGGGACCAATGGTAGCCTCTTTCTCTGTGACTACATCAGCGTTTCCTTTAAATCCTAAACATTGCACTTAGGACAACGATGTTACTACGGTATAAGCAGAAACACTGAGTAAAAAAAGAATTGTAGGACTGCAAATGCTACCCATAGCTACACAGCATCCTGGCACGCTATCTCCCCATAGTTACTATTTGTCACAATGCCTTAATGACCACAGCTCTAGAAATATCCCTGGCTTCTTTCTGCTATTGCAAAGTGACTTGCTGTTACTTTATAACTGTGTTGCTGTTTCTCAGACGTCTATCAGCTGTCAGATTTCAGGGCTTACACCACCACAAATAGATTCTCAAACTGGGTGTACTGAAAGCTCATGCTGCTCAGCTGCCCCTGTTACTGCCACTATATGTGTGTGTGTGTGTGTGTGTGTGTGTGTGTGTGTGTGTGTGTGTGTGTGTGTGTGTGTGTGTGTGTGTGTGTGTGCGTTTCTCTAGAGAAGAGGCAGATTTATAAGAGCCATTTACCTCTTCGGGAGGCCACAGCTGTTATAGAGTCAAAGCAATGTAATTATCTCTGTATAGAGGGCATCACTCAGGGCTGCTGGAGGAGGTGTCTCGTGTGTGTGTGTGTGTGGTGTGTGTGAGTGAAAGAGCAGATGAAGTTAACATGATGATTAAAAAAAAACTCACAAGGGAAATTTTTTTCAGGGACAGTACGGGTTGTGTAACAAATGGTTTGCAAGATAGCTCATTTAAAATATTCTTTAATGTAAAGCAATTATAATTTCTTATTGGCTATGAACACATTATATGTTAAGTCTTTTATCATCATCATTTTGTCCTCCATTATCTATTTATACAGAACCATGTAACTGTGTATATCTGTGGAGTACAGTGCAAAATGAGACTGACGTGATGCTTTAAGCTTTTGCTGTATTTGTGACAATGACTGAGGTTGATAAAAGACATGGAAATCTATTATCACTGTACAAAATGTCTTTTAAATGTATTAAGTCTATCAGTGAACATGTGTCATTTTCTATTGCATTAAATTATATTTTTTTCATTATTTTGCTCTATATTGTATATTGGCCAACTTATGTTAACCAGACACTTGATTAGGTAGACCTGTTAAAGTGCTTACTAATGGAAATATCTAATTAGCCAATGATATGGCAGCAACGCAAAGTATTTAGGCATGTAGCAAGGGTCAAGACAGCCTGCTGAAGTTCAAACTGAGGATCAGAATGAGAAAGAGAGGTAACTGAGGTGTCTTTGAACGTGGTGTGCTTGTTGGTGCCATGCTCTAGTCTGAGTGGAAGGCAACAGTAATGTGATTGCAAGGTATGCAGACGAGCATCTCTGAGCAAAAAACACATTGATCCTGGAAGCAGATGGGCTACTGCAGAAGAAGCCCACACCAAGTTCTTGTCAGAAAGGGAACCTGAATATAATTTGCATGGGTTCAGCAAAATTGGAAAATAGGAGACTGGAAAAAGTTTCCTGGTCTGATGAGTCTTTAATACAAGATTTTTCATGGTGGAGTCAGAATTTGAAAACATGGATGCATTCTTCCTTGTATCAACAGTGATGGTGATGCTGTAATGGAATGGTAGCCCATCAGATGATAGTTACTTCCAGCAGGATAATGCACCATGCCAAAAGGCTCAAATAATCTTCAACTGGTTTCTTTTTTGACTGGACTCAAACATTCTCTATGAACAACAGATTTTAATCCACCTAAGGACATTTGGGATGGGATGGAACAGGAAATGCAGATCATTCATGTGCAGAAATCTGCAGGAACTGATGCTGTCATGTCAATATGGACCAAAATCTCTGAAGAATGTTTCCAACAACTTACTGAATCTATTCCCCAAAGACTTAAGGAAGCACTGAAGGCAAAAGGGATGTAAACTCAATATTAACAAGATGTTCTTTAATGAAGTGACCAGTGAGTGTGGATATAAATAACAAGGTAGATTCTCTACCAGCCTCCTTCTTTTTTGCTAAATGTTCAGTGCAATACAAGAGGCTCTCATGCTTTCCTGAATGTTACCAAACTACAAAGTGTGGGGTAATTATTGTAAATGGGCTGGTTCTTACAGTATCTAGCCCTTTTCTACTTTAACTGAGCACTCAAAGTGCTTTTATACGAGGAAAATTGCTGTTGCGTTTTTCTGAAATGACAGAAAGTTAAATCAGCTCCTCTTTGAAACCATTTCACCGTAAACTTTATGAAGAAAAGAGAGAATTTATTGCAGGAATGTCTTATTACTCTGCATTTTTCTCAGCTTTGTGTACCAAATTTCCTACTGGGAAAAACAATTATACATAAAACTAAATTAAATAAATAACTTAAACATCAAAGTAAATCAAAAGTGAACACAATCTATACATCTAGCATAACAGAGAAATGTCTTCTGCTTGTACTTTTAAAATAATGGAATCTAGTACGATACAAATGACAGAACAAATTCCTTATATGCTATAAACCATCACGAAATGTACTATAGTCACGTCACAAGCTCGGGTGACTTCTTCAGAAGTGCTTTATTGTTTTACCCAAAGATGTTCAATTTAAAAATGACACGAGGCAGGAGACTTTGCTTGAACAATCACTTCTAATAGCTGCAGTGCAGCTTAGGACACTTTGCATGAGGAAACACTTTTAAAATAATTAAATAGGTAAGAAGTGAACTGACCTAGAAAGCAAGATAACAATCTGGGGGGGAAAAATCAGATACAGACTGTAAACTTGCCTGTAGCTTGCCTCCACCAGTGTGTGAATGTGAGAGTGAATGAATAGTGGCATTGTAAAGCGCTTTGGGTGCCTGGAAAAGCGCTGTATAAATCCAATCCATTATTATTATTATTATAAACACTGTATGTTTATCATATGGTCATGTAATAAAGCAGGCTGTGAGGGTATCCTTCACTGGACGCATTAAGAGTGAGACTGAAGAACCGCAAGACCACAGCGGTTACTGATTAACAAACAAATAATTTGATCTCTAGTTGTAGTAGTGTCCCTTGCTTGTTTATTTATGGAAAGAAATTAGATAAAAATAAGAGAATCTGTGCATGTAGGCGGCCAATCTTTAAACAGGCACAGAGTGTGAAAGTTGGTTGTATTCTTCGTCACTATGGCACAAAGAAACAAGACAGGAATCATGTTTAACTGGGGTTTAACTTCAGCCGACAAGTCACCTGACAGCTGGATGACTGCACTCACACCACACACTTCACACCTCACCAGGTTAATAAGTACTGCACTGAGGTGGAAAGAGGGGTGGTAAAAGCACAAAGCACATTAAAACCTCTCCCTTAAACTACAGAATGCAGTTGAGACAGCCCTGCCAGGTGCAGAGGTCGAGAAGGGGGTGAAGTTCATTCGGGCTGTCACGTGGAATAAATTAAAAAATGATTAAACAGTTAATCAGATTAAGCCTGATATTTTTGGTAGAGATTAATCTATTTGTTGTTTAAAGACTAATCAGCTAGCTAGCTAGTTGCTCTTCAGCCTACAGCCTAAACACAACCAGTTTATAAGCATTTATAACAGCAGACATGATTTTTGATTGTGCTCATGGAACATCAGTTAAGGCCACACAGACAGAGTAGTGTGGATTACTACAGGGGATACCTTTTATTTACTCCTGGGGCCACAGGGCAAGAGCCTCTGTGCTGAAGTGTGAACATTCCTAGGTTGAAAAACACACAATTTACTTAAACATAAAAAAGTGAGCAGATTTTCAGGATGAGGGGCTTTTCACACAGTCTCATCAACTGACCACAAGCAAGTAAGAGAAAACTAACAGGTAGATATCAATTTGGGATAAAAATCTACACTTAGCACTTGAAGACCTTCAAGTTTCGTTTTTTGAAGGAACTACGTTTTTTGTTCACTTTTGTTAAAAAACAAAACAAAACAAAAACAAAACACACACACACACACACACACAGAGTTTTAAAAGCACTAAATACGCCACTATCTCTGTATGCGTGTGTGGATGTCGGGTAAATCGTGGATTTTTGACGTACTAAAAGAAAAAGTGTGTTTAAACGGCTGCCCGGAGCGTCACACGGATGGAGGTGCAGATGTTCACCTCTGCATCACAGCCATGCTGACAACCGGGGTGACTAAACCCACTGGGGCGACACACCCAGCAGATGCCCATCACCTCACCTGAACCCGAACACTTTACCGTGGGGAGGGCGCCTACCTCTTTGCGGTCCTGCAGACACTCCAGCACTGCCAGGTTGTTGGTCCAGGTGTGCTTGGGACAGAGGCGGGTCAGGTCCTCCCGGCAGGCCTCTTCTTCCGACAGCTTCCAACCGGTCGCCCTTCGAGGCTGTGAGGCCCCAGCGGCTGCGGCTGCAGGTGCATCCTTCGCCGGCGGATCAGCGGGTCTCAGGACGGGCGGGTTGTGAAGCTCGGCCGGGCCGCTGGCAGCCTTCAAGCCGAGGACGGAGCCGAAACTGCAGAGGCACACGGACGACAACAGCAGCAGCAGCTGAGCGCGACTGTACGCCGCCATCTTCACAGCACTGTCAAGCTAGTCCTAATACATGACGACATCACTTCCGGTCAGCGAGGTAACGGTGAGCTTTATTTACCGAAATAAACACACAACTTCCGGTCACTTGAAAAATAAATAAATAAAGCTTTACTGTACTCCTTTAGTAACAGCGTCAGTGTACCCATTGTTTTTACATTGTTGTTTACTCTAGTAAGCAATACGACACGATGATCACGTCACATGATCTCCAGCTCTAGTTTATAGCGATTTATTTTCATTTAATAGCATCAAAAAGAGAATCAACTAAATGTAGGAAAAATAACGCGAATAAACTTTTCAAATATAAATAATTGTCGTTTATTTACATAAGCATGTTTCCACACAAAACTATCAGCCTGAATTACTTTTTTAATGCTAGATATTCCCCCACCTTAAAAACAAAACAAACAAAAACAAAACAAAACTTGTTTCGAAGTTCCTGCTCTACCTTTTTTGTGACAACAAATACATTATTTCTTTGGCATCCATTGTACAAGGACAATGCAAGTCCGAATATTCAAACAATTGTTGGATATATCCCGGGAAGTGCGCACACTGTGTCTGAGGAGGATGTGCGGAGGTGCTTCAGGAAGGTAAACACACGCAAAGCTACTGGTCCGGACGGGATTCCCGGCCGCGTCCTCAAGTCATGCGCGGCTCAGCTGGCTGGAGTGTTCAC